TACTGCCCGGATGTTTACCCTGTTTACTGTACTGCCCGGATGTTTACTCTGTTTACTGTACTGCCCAGATGTTTACCCTGCTTACTGTACTGCCCAGATGTTTAGCTTGTGTTTACTATAACTTTGCTACTGTTATGAGCCATAGTGTAAATATCTGATATGCATGATATCTGATATGTGACCCCTGTGGAGGTTGCAACCCGCAGGCTGAGACCCGCTGCCCTGAAGTCTACCAACAGGTGGTAAACGGAGGTAAACTGAGGGCAGAGCTCTTTAGGAGTTGGCCAGTCATAGAGCCCCCAGATGCTAGCACTTGATTCATTTAGACTTCCTTCAGGCTGTGAAGAGAAGAAACCACAAGCAGCGTTCCCAATAAACCTAAGCTCCTCCGTGACTCACTCTGCACGCGCTGAGGTGTGTCCCCCCACCTCTGCAGAGAAAAGGAAGGATGTGGAGAGGACCACACGGCTTCCCACTGCCTCACGGCTGCTGCTCAAGGACGAAGGGCCGCTGCAGAGCTGCGTAAAACAAGTTTAATTTCCAACCAGGGCACAGTCATTGCATTATCCCACATTTTTGAGCAAGGATAGAGAAGGCGAGTTATTAAACATGTACAGTCTACATTCCAGAGAAAGCAAAAAGAAAAAACCCACTTTAGAACTGCAGTACCACTGTAACACCACAAATTTTGGAGGTGGAGGGAAGGGGGGAGTCCCCTGAAAGAAAGGTAGAACAAGATCAAAAACTAAACCAACTTGAGAAAAGCAAGAGAGGGAGCTCACAGTAATGGGATGAAACACCCAACCCCTAAAGACGGATTAGGGAATGTAGAAAGCACCCCACCTCCCCACAAAGCCAAGGATGTTACCAAGATGTTACTGCCCCCTGCTGGACATGTCTGGAGCAACATGCACCAAGGCAACATTCAAGGCTGCTTTAGCCTGCTGAGCCTCAGGTTGGTCCCAGGAGGTGGAGAAAACCAAGAAGCTGTGGTAAGGGATGCAGGAGTGGAATGAAGTTTGCAATGGACAAAACCTATCTGGAACTAGCATCTAAGTGGGAAGGTCAGAAAGCGTGGCAGAGAAAGAGGCAAAGGTCCTCACCAATCTCAAAACAAAGAGAGTAGAAAATCAAATAGAAGACAAAACCAAAAACAAACCAAACAGGCAAAGTGGTGAGTGAACCGAGAAGGCAAACAGGCGCTCACAGCAGCAACAGAGCAGGGACTCAGAAACGGCAGAGAGAGTGAGGGTGACAGAGGGGAACGCAGGAACAGTAAAGAGAGGAGTGCAGGGAATGGAAAGAACCCATTTAAAATGAAACAGAACCCCTGGCACCTCCATGTAGAGATCGCGCCGCACGCACATATGCGCACACACACGCGTGCGCACGCACACGCACGCGCGCGCACACACACACGCACACACGCACACCCTCCAGGTCTAGAGCACATACCCATGTGGTCTCTGGGGTATCACAGCACTACCTGCACTGAGAGACATCCTAGAACCTCACACAGCTCTGCTGACGGGAGGCTGGGGAACCTATCAGCCTGCTATAGACAAAGGTGGCAGGAAACCTGGCCACAATGTGGAGCTCAGAACAGCCCTCTGGGAAGGGTCCCTCGGCCATGCTGCAGAGCCCAGGGTCCTGACCTTAGCAGAGAGGTTATGGGCAGCTGTTTTGGAGCTCAGGGCGCAGCCAGCACACACAGGAGCCCACAGAACAGCCACAGCTTCAGTGCGGTGACCAGGTCAGAGCTTCTGGAACAGGCGCCCTCTACAGACCTGCAGCAGCAGCTGAACAAGCAGAGAATGATGGTGGGAGGGCCCTGAAGATCCCAGTTCCAGCCTCAGCCATGCAGGGTCCTACAGCATCTACTCCAGCCCCACAGACCTATTCAGGGACAGGGTGAGGACTGGGGAAAGCTGCCAGGAAAGAGGGGGACAGGACATCGAGAACAACAGAAACTCATCTTTCCTGGTCCTGAACTAGACAGCAAACTGGAGAACGGGGTTGATACTGAGGTCGGCTATGGTAGCCCTAATCCATGGCTTCTCATCACTCTGCCTGGTCAGTCCTCACCAGGCCAGCAGAACTACTAAGGGAAAAAGTCTCTGACAGACAGAACCACCCAGCCACCAGACCAGAAGGCGGAAGCAGGACTGCTCCATGCCTTACCTTCCCTCCTGAGGGCAAGATGGAAATCTAGGCCTTCCCAGAGCACTCCCCACCCCTCAGCATGCAGGTCCCACTCACCCACCTCCCTCTGAGTTCCTGGAACAGATCTGAGGATGGTGAAGGAGGGTCGATACAACACTCTAGCCAGTAACGTGAGTGGGCTCCTTTCCTTCCTACTCATGAGGCTGAGCAGAACGGCATCTCCTTAGGAACAGTCACAGAGATCAATGCCATTTCATGTGCTCATAATGGTGGAAAAGGAAAGATGAGACAGACAGACAGACGGCTGTAGGAGCCCATCTATCCTAACATCTAGGAATGCCACCTGTAGAGAGGAAAGCAATGGGACCCACCCACATCCCCGTATCTCACCAACACAGAAGGGCAGGGGACAGGTTCTAGTGCGCAGTGTCCTGAGCTGCACTCTGCTCCCTCCCCTGACCCCACATATATATCTCTCTATACACGTATGTACAGGCGCACACATGCACGCACACACAGAGCCCGTGCAATGTCCATGTAAATAGGAGAGTGTAGAAGGAAAGGAAGACGGGAAGGAGAGTGGCCAGGGACATAGGGAAGGGACTCAGATGCCAAGAGCACAGCAACCAGTGCCAAACAGCAAACAAAGAGAACATCCCACTCTTCCTCCTGAAACCAAGGGGGACCACCCCACGAAACCATAACAGCTTCATTCTGTTTTAAATCCAGTAAATTGGAATGATTCATCATGAGGACAGCAGTTGGGGGCTGACCGTGTCAGTGCACAGGGGAGGAGGAGGGAGGCACGGAGGCCAGGCGCTTGCTGGGCATGTGGACATGATACCCAGGACCTCGGCCACACTTTCAAGAGGAAGACAGAGGGAAGCTGGGGTAAGGAGACAACAGGTATGTGTCAGGAGTCGGGGGAGTCAGAGGGGTGCCTGGCTCTCACTTCTTGTTTTTGAGCTGATTGGCCAGCCAGTCCAAGCCTTCATACAGCCCGTCCCCGCTGGTAGCACAGGTGGCCTGAATGTACCAATTGCGGTGACGCAGAGAGTGCAGCCCCAGCTTGTCTGTGATCTCAGCAGCATTCATAGCATTCGGCAAATCCTGCAGTGCAAGGGACACACACAAAGATACCTCAGCATCTTTCAAAGGCTTCTAGAGCACCCACTTGCCAGAGGCACACATACGACCACCTTCTCGTTAGCTCAGGAAACCCAGATTAAGATTTGCAGGAACTGCTCCTGGCCCAGTAGTCCCAGAACTGCAGAGCCAGGAACTAGATAGAGAAGAGGTGTGTGTGACTCAGATGACCAAACAATCAAGTCGGACTGCAGGAGCAAGGCCAGCTCTACTACAGTACAGGAAGTACCAGAAGGTAAAGACCTGAACAGACATATCTACCTACTAATCCCGAGGACTAAGATGCTGCTCAATACAACTGGGCTGGGGACAAGGCTGGGGCAGGAAGGAGCCAAGCGCGTCTCCTCCTCACACTTGCAAACGACAGCAGTGTCCCAGGCCTTTCATCCAAGCCCCAAGGCCCCATGACTCCTGTAGCCAGGATGCTCTCTCCCAGGTGCAGGGAAAGGGAGAAAGCTCACCTGTTTGTTTGCAAACACAAGGAGTACAGCATCCCGGAGCTCATCCTCTGCCAGCATCCTCATCAGCTCTTCCCGGGCCTCATTCACTCGCTCCCGATCATTGCTGTCAACCACAAATATCAAGCCTGGAGAGCAGAGAGAGCACGGGACATACAGGGATGATGGATGTCTCCTGTCCGCTCCCTCACCACACCCTCCAAACACGTGTTCCCTTCTCTCTACTTCCAGGAGCTGCATGTGGGCAAGGGCTGGCTACCCATAACTCAGAGAACAGCCATGCTCTGCACACGCCCAGCAATGCCAACCCCAGGAACTTTGTCTGTCGTACCTTGGGTGTTCTGGAAGTAGTGTCTCCAGAGGGGCCGAATCTTGTCCTGGCCACCTACGTCCCATACTGTGAAGCTGATATTCTTATATTCCACTGTCTCCACATTAAACCCTTTGGGAGGTAAAAAAGTCAATGGCCACTGGCCTCAAACACCAGACCTACAAATAATAACCTGATGAGTTTACTCCCATTTCTTTTCAGCTTTAGATGTGACACCAACAGCAGAAAGCTTAAGGGCTACTGGGGCCTTGTAGTCCTTGCCCTGGTTAGCCTAAAGGAAACCTAAAAGAACTGGAGAGACGGTGCAATGGTTAAGGGCACTTGTTCTCCCAAAAGCCAGGGTTCAAGTCCTGGTACCCACATAGTTGCTCACAACCACCCGTAACTCCAGTTCTATGGGGTCTGATGACCTGTCCTGACCTCCATGTTCGCTACATGCATGTATATAGTGCACACATATAGATACATACATACATACACACACACACACACATTCACACACACCAGGCAAAACATAAACACACATAAAATAAGTGTATGCTATATATTATCATAAGGTATGTATCTTTTAGGAAGGAAAATCGAAGAAGACAACAACAGCAAGCTCTGATTAGAAGGCGCACAGCTGCCTGGATAATATAAGCTACTGTTCTCCTCTTCTCTCAGACTCTGGTCCTCCAATCTACAAAGAAAGTACTCTATTCTAAGCCTTGATCAGTAAACTATATCTAAGCTAAGCTGTGGGGCGGACAGGCAGTGGGAAGCCCGTGATAGAAGCTACAGCACTGGAACCCCAAGCTCAGGACGATGACCCACAGCCCATGGTTGTAGCAAATATTCTCCCTCCAACAGGCAGGTCTTAACCAAGATTGCCACTGAAGATCTAAACCAAAGCAATTCCAGGCCCCTGGCAGGAACATCAAAGCTCTTCACCTGCTTTCCAAACAACACAGAGAACAAACCAACCCTAACGCCTGAGGGCAACTGTTGAGTGCCAGGCTACGGAAGTTCCCGCATCAGGGAGGGCCAGGGCAGGTGGGCAAACGGCAGCTCCAGCACCTGCCAAAGTTAAACAGACACTCTCTCTGAAGCCCACGAAATGTATGGGCTTGCCTGGGGAGAACAAGCCAGGTGGGAGATCTTGGAGCAGGCCCCCAGCCTCCTTCCCCTCAGCCCACAGCCAAGCTTGGGCTTACCAATGGTAGGGATGGTGGTGACAATCTCTCCGAGTTTCAGCTTGTACAGGATGGTGGTCTTTCCCGCAGCATCCAGGCCCACCATCAAGATGCGCATCTCCTTCTTCCCGATTAGGCTCTTCAGAAGGTTCCCAAAGATATTGCCCATGGTCTCAGTGGCTGCTTTAAGTCAATGGGGCCTAGGTAGGGGCAGTGGTAATCTGGCTTGACCCTGGTCCCTGGAATGGAAGGCTTGATCCTAGACAAAGGAAGCACAAATGCCTTACCATCGACTGTTTGTAAGGACTTCACATTCATGGAATTTGCCAAAGTCATAGCTGGAGTTCATTCACTACTGGCTAAACACCAGAAGGGACTGAATAACCAAGGCCCACTCACACACAGACTCAATGTTTGAGAGCAGAGGCAAAGCAGGAGGCATGTAGGACCCTTGCTATGCCCGTCATCCGCTGCAGAGATGGAAAGGCTGCTGACTTCATCTCTGCAGATCTGCACTGAAGTATCCAGGAACTTCTAGTTGGAGATTTCTAAAGTCATTTCAGTTTTAGTGTTCTCTGTTACACCCCAGAGCACTGCAAACCCATTTGCCTCTCCCTCCGCCAACCTTGCCCTAAGACTTCTGGGAAGGGCAGCAGAGTGGAATGAGGAGTGGCCCTGTAACTCCTGACGAGGTTCAGGCCTGCCAGGTTCCCAAGGCTTATGTTCTGCTTTAGTCAAGAGACTGTTCCCTCCTCGCCTGTAATTCCATTCCTTCCACACCAATGTAATTGAGGAAGTAAAACAGCAAGCACGACTCCTAAAAGAAGCTGGTCCCTTACACTCTGAACGCTGTCACTTGCTCTGTCTATACAACCGCATCCTGAGATGGGAGGGTGGGGAAGGCCTCCCGCTCTCTCCAGGCCACCCAGGGAGAGCCGTCCTATAAGATCACCTGCAAGGAGGTAATCACCTCGTCCCTCTATCTTCCCTAACCCTTCAGCCTGTTCTCCATAAAACAGCTAAAGTGATTTTAAAGGTCAAACCAGGCCCTTTGGTTCCTCTGTTCAAAACCTTTGGTTACTTCCAGCTCCCTTAGTAAACCAAGAGACCCTGCAGTGCTGCGTTCCTGAAACCTAACAATGCTTGGTGCAGTTCAACAATCAGATTTACTCTGAAGGTCTCTACCAGCCTTACTTCCAGCTCAAGCAGACTGAGTGTTCCCCAGGGGTTCACAGTGACCCTGACCACCCCTGCTAAACAAGAGCTGTGAGGCACTGCCAGGTGTAGCACACCACTGCCCTCAGCAGACGGCACACACGATGCACTCATTTCCTCTCAAGGGACGGGCGGCCACAGAATGCCTAGCAAGACAGATGTGCTAGCTCACACCTACAAGCTCCTCAATCAGGAAGTGGGACCGGGACAACCTGAAGTCCCAAGCCAGTTCCTCAGCAAGACCACCTTTCACAGCAACCCCACCCAAACAAACAAAACAAGCATTTTAATAAATGTTTCATTTAATAAATGTTTCATTGCTTTTATATCTACTTATCCTACTTAGGTATAGGGATTTTGCTCGCATATATTTCCGTTCCATCTGAGTCCTTGCGCCCACAGAAGGCATTGCATTCCACAGGAGGTATGAATGGTGTGAAGGTGGCTAGAAAGATGGCTCAGTGGCTAAGAGCACAGGCTGCTCTTCCAGAGGTCAATCCTCAGGAGGAACCACATGGTGGCTCACAACTATCTATAATGAGATCCAATGTCCTCTCCTGGCGTGCAGACATACATACAGAGCACTCATATACGCAAAATACACAAATAAATCTTTTTTTAAAAAATGAGCGACTGTGAGCTGCTATGTAAGTGCTGAGAACTGAACCCAGCTCCTCTGCAACAACAAGCACTCTTACCCAGAGTCATCTCCCATCCAACTCCAAAATGTTTAAGCTAGGGTCTCTGTTGCCCAAGCTGGCCCCAAATTCACTATGTAGCCAAAGATGAACTTGAACTTCTGATCTTCTCACCTCCGCCTCCCAAGTGCTGGGATTACAGGTGTGCACTACACCCTTGGCCTAGAAATGCACCTCTGAATCAGTCATGCAACGGGGGTTCAGAGCACCCACGCCAGCCAGCACTTCATGCCTCGAGAGCCATGTGTCAGCGAGCAGCTTGTTCAGCGACCATCATATACCAGCTGCTGGCATTCTCTAGAGTATGGAAACCAGTGACACCCTCCCCCAACCCAGAAGGTGAAGAAACAGGTCAGGACAGAGCGCATCTGAACCCACAAATGTGAGAGGTAGACAGCAAAGGATCCTAGTTACACGATGAATCGGGGAGTCTGGGGGAAGTTTAGTCACTTTTTTGAAACCTTCCTCAGGCTTGTTTTTGTTCTGTTTTGTTTCCCCTACTCCTCTGTAGCAAATTCCAGACTAGTGCACAGAAGTCAAATCAACAGCCCCTGGGGACCGAAGGACTAGGCTGTCTAAAAATAAAAAAGAACTGAGTGTAGCAGCGTTTCATCTTCAGACATCCCCAGACTCCCACTAATGAGGCAGGTGTGGCTTGCCCAGGTCTCCCAGACGAGCCCTATCTCGACCCACAAAGCTCACACCCCAGCAACAGGGCTTGTTGGACTTTAGGACTGACTCAATCCCAGCCATGTTGCCCACTCGCCAGCCCTGCTGTCCTTCTGGCCTCAACTCATCCAGTCAGGTCTAAAGCTCCTGCACATTCCTAAGGTGAGGGCAGGAAGGAGGAGGAGGAGGAGTGACAAGGACACTTGCCCAGCTACTAAGATCAGATCATCCCATCCTCGGCAACCTATGGTACCATGACCTCCACAACAAAAACTCTCTCCATGTTTCTTGGCATGGAGCAGAGAGATGGTATTTGTTGAAGATCTGTTCTTAGGCTCCGGCAGAGATCTTAAACCTGAGTGTAGCAGTGTTGTATCTGCAGAGACCATGTACTTCTTTCTCACCGTCCTTCATGACCAAGCTAGCACTGACTACATGATCACAGTGAGAACAGCAGCTGAAAGAGAAGATCAGCAGCCCATGCCCCTTGCTTGGAATCTCTAAATAACCCTCTGCTCTGCTTCTCTGTTCAACTGTCATGCTGAAGTTACAATTCAAAGTTGACCCTAACCTGACAACGGAGACACAGGCCCTACTGCAGCATCGTGAGGCGGAAGCAGGAAGGCCTGGGGAGAAAGAAGCCACCACGCTGGGCAGTGTTGGTGCACGCCTTTAATCTCAGCACTTGGGAGGCAGAGGCAGGTGGATTTCTGAGTTCCAGGACAGCCTGGTCTACAGAGTGAGTTCTAGGACAGCCAGGGCTACACAGAGAAACCCTGTATCATTTCTTCTGCCCAGTAGGACTGAGATCTATGGACTGACATTAGCTGACCAATGTGCTGTGAAGCTGGGCATAGTGATATACACCTATGATCCCAACACGTAAGACCTGGAGGCAAGAGGATCAGAAGTTCAAGGCTACCCACAGCCTATCTATCAAGTTTGATGCCAGTCTGGGCTACAGGCATTCTAGTTAATGTGTGTGGGTTTTGGTGGAGAGTCCATCAAGAATGAACGTCGCTGGGCAGTGGCGGCGCACGCCTTTAATCCCAGCACTTGGGAGGCAGAGACAGGTGGATTTCTGAGTTCGAGGCCAGCCTGGTCTACAGAGTGAGTTCCAGGACAGCCCAGGCTATAAGAGAAACCCTGTCTCAAAAAACCAAAAAAAAAAAAAAAAAAAAGAAAAAGAAAGAAAGAAAGAAAGAAAGAAAGAAAGAAAGAAAGAAAGAAAAAAAGAATGAACGTCGTACCAAAGCCACAAGCACCACATTTCCATGGTCACTGCTGGTCACTGTCACCGCATACCCAAATTAAAGGCTGGGGAGAGGGATACAATAATGGAAATAAATCCAAGGTGATGGACAAGCCACAGACAAAAGCCACAAAGCTGTCTGCTAAACCTGCTTCTCCAAAGCTACCCTGAACCTCTTAGAAAAAAGCCCTGAAAAACAGGAAGACAGTACACCAGAAGGAAGAGGAGGAAGCTGATTATGGCAAGGGTGGAAACAGACCTGGAGAAAACGGAGGGATTAAACAGACCAGACACAGAGAGCTAAAGTACTACAGATGACAACAGAAATATGTGTATTCAAAAAACAGTGTTTTAGACTGTGTGGGGGTGTGCCTGTATTATGTATGTACACCGTGTGCATGCCTGAGGATGCCGGAGGAGAACATTGGAGCCCATGAAACTGGAGGAGGTATTGATGGTTCTAAGTCATCTTTCTAGACCTGTGTGTACATTCTTTATAACTGTATCTCTAGTGACTATACAGTTTGAAAGGCCACCTTTTATTGTTTTATACAATATGGACATTTGTTTTACTTTTAAGTTATATCATTAGCACAAAGAACATTTCTTTGTGGGTCAGCAAGATGACTCACCCAGGAATGGCACTTGATGCCTTATCATCTGAGATAGATCCCCAGGACCCACAACCCACAGCAAAGGAAACACAACTCCTGAAAGTTGTCTGACCACCTCACATGTGCGGCAGCATGAGGAACCTACACACCTACACACACACACACAAGTAAATGTCATTTTAAAAGGGGAGCACACTCCATTGTTTTGGGGGAAACAAGTCATTAACAAAATGTCTCCCAAGCTGGACTGACATGGAGAAAACGCTTTTGCTTGCCAGTTCTGATGCACTTCTCTGGCTCGAGTAAGAGATTCCCTGATGTGGACACATGCAGTCATCACCTTGGCTATGTCCTGTGGAATGACTCAAAGATAATCTTATATCTCATTAACTTATGTGTATGTGCACACGTGGTGTGCCACGCACATGCACAGGTCAGAAGACAACGAGGGAGCTGCCTCTCTTCTCTCACCATGAGGATTCCAGGAACCAAGCTCAAGCCTTCACACTTGGTGGAAAGCACCCTGACCTGCTGAGCTAGCTCAGTGACGCCTAAAATTCGTTCTTATGCCCTCTTCCCTGTCCACCAGCACCACAGACTAATTATCTAAAGCCAGAAAGCTAGTGGACTGCAACCCAGTAAAAATGGCTTTTGCCTTTATGTACGTCAAGAGATCTGGATGGGGGGTGGCATCACTAACATGGTGATTTCCTACAAGAGCAACGTGTGTGAGTGTCCCTCCTCACACTCCTCTTCCAAAGATCCAGCCTTCAGACTGATGGCTCTGCCCTTTACATCTCATGTCCTGAAC